AATGTTCTGTTAATGTTTGTGGGCATGACTCCCTCCAGGCTCTCTGGTAAGGCTTTTGGAAAATAGGAAAAAGCAGTCAAACTTCTGTCCTGAAGTGATTGGGATTAAAAATAGTTCAGAAGTAGCCAGCTAGAAGGGATAAAGCCCTGTTGGTCCTATCATCTATTTCTGAGCTAAGTAATGGATTTAATAGGATGATTCCAAAGACAGTAACTTTCGGAAGACACTCACAATATACAACTAGGAGTATATCTTTTTACCAATTTATCTTGGAAAATGTTCCAGGAAGCTGTTTTATTTCTCTATGTTAAAAGACCTATAGGACGGGACCAACAGTTAGCGTAATGGCTATGTCGCTGGACTCCCACATAGTCGACCGCAATTTGCGTCCTGGACCTGGTGGCTTAAAACTCACTCCTGGCCTGTGTGCGTGTGTGCCCAAGATCCTGAGAGGAGAGTGGAGGAGAAGGGATTGAGGCATGGCCATCCCCCTGGGGGGGTGATTTCTCACTTTCTGTCTCTCTCTGTCTTTCTGGTGAGTGCACATGCCCTATAGCAAAAACCTCTCAAAAGAAAAAAAGAAAGAAAGAAAAGAAAAGACAAAAAAAAGACTTATAGGAGCTTTATTGAGATTTTTGTATGTGTATGTTTAACAGCCAAGGTGGATATGTGAGAACACCTGCTTTAAAATGTTTTAAGACTGAAATTTTTATGATTCTGATAAAGTATAACTTCAATATCACAAAATCTGGAGAAGATGAAATTGTGCAGTCCCTCCTCCACTGGGAATTCTTGGCCCAACTCTTGTGCTATCAGGTCACACCAGGTGATTGCAGAGGGGCTTTCCGTATAGAATTCATGAGGCCCTCCAGCCATCATTAAAGGGCATCATTCCTCCTCCCAGCTGAACTGTGGAACATACAGTTTTGCATTTCACCAGTATTGTAGATTATTGTCTCAAACTCTGAGGATCAGTAATCATCAAAGACTCAGTTGTGAGAGAATTATTTACTATTTTAAGGAGGATTACCTTAAAGAGAGACAATCCTTATGCTATATAGTTCATCTTTAGGGTTGCAGACTTTCAGAGAGCAGCCTGCCTGGACTCCTGAGTTCTGGCTTCCCACTGGATTAGTTTTTCTGAGCCCCACCTTGGCACTGTGCCATTAGCATACTCTCAGAACTGTGTAAGAAGTTGTGCCAAAAACAGCATTTGCTCTAAGCAGAGTTTGGAGGAACCATTCACCACTGTTCTAGGGTTTGTCCCACATGAGCTAGAATTCTAGGTGGCACTTTCATTTGTACATACTGACCACCTCAATTTCCAGGCCTCTGAGGAGGGTGTGGAAAGTTTTGGGTCAACACTCAGCATTTGACCTTCCCTAAGGTGATCCATCAGATGGAGAAGATAGGAGAGCCTATCCAGGTCATCTAGGGCTGTACTGCTGAGCAATCATTTTGCACTGTGGAGGAGACCCCCACCAACTGTCATTATGTTGGGGAGTAGACCACCAAGATTCTGCACTGTTTTATGGAGACTTCAGTGCACTGACTGACCCTTTTGACTTAGGGACATATGCTATGCCCTGGGCTTATGGGGTTGTACTCACTTACATTTCTTGAATGTGTTTTCTAATCACCATTTCAAACTACTGTGCTGTTTAAGTATTTAAGTTCCTGGCAGCAATTAAGCTGCTGCAGAACACAGGCATTATTGCATCACTTCACACGTTCAAATAGTACACTCAACCCTAGTAGTTATTGCATCAGCTCAGAGAACTGTTCTTCCAATCAATTAAACTCCTTGCACTTGAATACGCTCTACCTGCCAATCACACTGCAAATCACCACCTCACACCTATTTCACAATGAGCTGGCAGAATGAAATGACTTCCCCAAACTTAATGAGCCCCCAACCCCTGGGGTAAGTTGGCCCTTAAAGAGATTTTCCAGTGTCTCTTGGGAACAACCCTATCACTATTACATTTGTCCCCAGGTTAAAACCTCCTGAGGTCTTCGTTCCAGGAATAGTTGTGCTGCTCCCTAGTTACCGCTTTCTTTTTGTCCTGGGACACCATGAATGATGAAACAATTGTGTTTACTAGTTCTAGTCTACCCCATTTGTTTGTTTTCATTATATCAGTCATGCATACTCATTATTTTTAAAAGTGAAATATACAGCCAAGTAAACAAGATACCTAAACTCTCACCACTCAAAAACTATTACAACTAAACTACTGATCACCTCTCCAGTCTTTGGTGTTTCTTCTTAGCATGCTGCTATAAAGAGCCAGCTACAAATCCTAGTATAAATGAGAATTTAATATATAACAATGGAGAAGAGATATACTGTCATATATAATAGATAGTACTGTCCCAACTGGCTCTCCATTTCAAAATATATCTGGACTCCTCCTTTATACTATATTGAAAAATTCATTTTAGATAGATTAAATGTAGAAAATATAAAACTAAAGGAATTGCTTAAAAATCTTGGAGGCTGGGGCCAGCCTGTGGCCTTGTAGTTAAAACAGCTATATCATGGGGCCAGCAGTTGGCAAATGGCCATGTTGCCGGCCTCCCATGTAGTCGACTGCAGTTTGAATCCCAGACGTGAGTTTAATGTGAATCCTTAAACGTGAGTTTAAGCCACCGGGCATGTGTGTGTGTGTGCCAAGATCCTGCAAGGAGAATGGAAAAGACAGAATTGTGGTGTGGCCATCCCCCCCGGGGGGTGATTTCTCACTTTCTCTCTATCTGTCTCTGTCTCTCTGGTGATTGCATAAGCCCTATGCTAAAAAACTCTAAAAAAAAAAAAAAGACAGCTATATCTCACACAGCTGACTGTATGGTTTGACTCCCTGTTCTAGCAGCTTGAGAAATATGCGGGGCATCTGTGCCCAAAATCCTGGAAAAGAAAAAAAGTGGAGGAGAGGGGATTGTGGCGTGACCGTGCCCCAAGAGAGGATCTTTTCTCACTCCTCCCACCCCCAACTGTTGAGGAGAGGGGATTGTGGCGTGACCATGCCCCAAGAGAGGATCTTTTCTCACTCCCCCCACCCCCAACTGTTTTTGGTGACCTCATGTGCCCTCTGGCAAATTAAAAAAGCTATAAAGGAAAATATTTAAAATTTTTTTTTTCAGAAGTTTTTGCCTTAGAGTACATGTGCTCACTGGAGAAAGACAGAGGGAAAGTGATAAATCACCCCCCCCAGGGGGATGACCACACTGTAATCCCTTCTCCTCCATTCTCCTCCTGGGATCTTCAGCATATACATACATGTACCCAGCATGAGTTTCAAGCCACCAGGTGTGGGACTCGAACCGTGGTCGGCTATGTGGGAATCCAGTGACATAACCACTATACCATCTGCTGACCTCATATTTGTTTTTATAAATTAAATTGATAAATAATAAGGAAAGTATTCATAAAACAAGTGACATTAAATTTACCTGTAACACAAATTCTTAACTTTTGTGTGAAAAGGACAAAATGATAGGAGAAAGGTGCACAAAAAATACAAATGCAGAATTCATGGTAGAATACATGCCAGTGGCCAGCAAACATATGAGAACATGCTGAAATTTACTTGCCAGGGAAAAGCAACATAACATTAATAGAACATAATTTTACGCTTTGGTGGGCAAAAGGGTGGGCAATGTCATGTGCTGGTGGGATTCCAGGGGAATGAACTCTGATAATTTGCTGGTGAATTGTGATGCACTAAAATCTTCTAAGGAAGAAATTTGACGGTATCAATGAAAGTACACGTACCCCTTGACCCAGCAATTTCACTCCTGAGAGCCTGGCCCAGTATAAATAAAAGCAGCAGTTTTAAGTTACATGTACAAGGAGGGTAACTGCAGCAGTGCTCAGAAGGATGAAACAGGAGAATGTCCATCAACTAAGTAATATCTTAATAATTTAGGATGTGCTTCACACAAAAGAATATTTTTTTCATGCGCTTAACATGAATTACCACTAAGCTAGATGATTGGAGGGATTCCCTTAAGAGACTGTTGCATGAGAAAAGTACACATAATCCCATTTTTTAGGTGGGAAATGACCCCCCCAAAAAGTGTATGTGTACATCCGTATAGGATATATGATTACAGAGAACTGGACAGAAGAATACATATTAGGTTGTTGAAAATTGATTACCTGAAATTGGTCAGGGGAGGAAAGGACCAACAAAGGTGAAAAGGGAGAAGGGAAGAACAGCTAAGTGAAAGAGTAAAAGATAATAACTCTTCACTAAAAATAAATGAAGATGCACACATATAGTCACATTTAGGCTTTTATTATTATTTTTTATTGAGAGGTTTTTGCTATAGGGCACGTGCACTCGCCAGAAAGACAGACATAGAAAGCAAGAAATCATTCCCCAGGGGGAATGACCCCTCCGCAATCCCTTCTCCTCCATTCTCCTCTAAGGATCTTGGGCACGCACGCACACACGCCCAGCGTGAGCCTAAGCCACTGGGTCCGGGACTTAAACCGCGGTTGACTACATGGGAGTTCAGCGACATAGCCATTACAACAACTGCTGGTCCCAACATTTAGGCTTTTATATACAATTGTTTACATATGTGTGTTTCGTGGGTGGAATTGTGCCCTCCCAGAAAACATATACTGAAGTCCTCATGGCCAGTTCCTCAGAATGTAACCGAATTTGGAAATAGGGTCTTTGCAGAGGTATTCAAGTTAAAATGAGGTCCTCAGGGTGAGTCCTGCTCCTATAGGTCTGATATCCGTATGGGAAATTTGGACAAGAGTCAGACACAAAGAAAGAGGAGATGCATTTTTGTCAGACAAGGGAAAAGAGTGGTTTGTGGAGATGGAAGATTATAAGAAAAAGCATCTGCAGGCCAAGGAATGCCAGAGATTGTTGGCAAGAGAAACTCTTGACCCACCAGTACCTGATACTGCAGCTCCTTTAGCCTACCTAAGCATAAAATGGTGTTCTATTGTTAATGTTATTTTGCTTTTCTCTGACAAGAGGCCAGGAAGTCAGGACTCCTCTGCAAGTTTCAAACGGAACAGGATCCAGCAAACTCCTCGATTTCAGACTTCTAGCCTCCAGAACCGTAAGACAGACAAGTTTTTGATAACCCAGTTTGTTAAAGCAGCCCTAGGGAATAAGTACAATGTTTGTGTGTGTTTATTTATATATTTTTATATGTATAACATTCTATTATATATATAATCAAATAGACTTAAAATTCTTTAGGGGCCAGCAGGTGGTGTGGTGGTGAAGTGATGAATCCTGCATAGCTGACTCTGTGGTTTGAATCCTGGACCCAGCAGCTTGAAAATCAGCAGCATGCCCAAAATCCATGGAGAAAAATAGAGGAGAAAGAATTGTGGCATGGCTATCCCCCCTGGGGGTGGGGGGTTGTAATTTTTTACTTTTCCTCTCACTCCAGCAAGTGCAAGCTCCCTAGAACAAAAGCCTTTAAAAAAATAATAAAATAGTCAGAGCTGTATTCATACCTGAAACTCATGATTTATTTCTCTATGCAAAAATGCATCACTACTTTCCTGATGACCCAGTATTTTAGTCTTGTTTTGTTCCTCACTTATGTAAACACCTTGATATACCTATCTTAAATTATTTGGGGATATGGAGCTGTGAGGTAATTAAATCTGTAGGCTTGTGGCTGGCAGCTATGTTGGGTCATGCATGCTAAAGGAAATCGACCCAGGTAAAACGAGATGGAGGCATGTGACCACCAGCCCCTGGTAATCAGAATGAGAAGAAAGTCTATCAGAGCACTCAAAAATGCAGAGAACAAGCTCATGACTGACTTTGGTGTCCTGGTTCCAGTTGATGTCAATTTCTGTGACAAGTAACCTGAGATTTTCCTCTTTTTCCTAAGCTGAGTGAGGTCTGATTATTATAACCAAATTTAAGGAAAGAACCATAAGAAGTTGAGTGGCTAAATGAAAAAGTAGTGCATAGCACATTCTGAATTAAAGAGTTTGTGTAGCCCAAGGATGGAGTCCTTTTTACCTTCACTTAGTCAATTTAGTACTACCACATTATAACAGCAAACAGTGACTGTTTTATTTAAAGAATTATTTAGTTTTATTATTTTTTATTTGATAAGAGAGAGAGAGATGGAAAGTGAGAAAGCAAGCCACCAGGACCAGGATTTGAACTGTGGGCAGCCATGTAGGAGTCCAGCCCCTTAACTACCATGCCACCTGCCAACCCTGCATGACTGTTTTTTAATACATAGATAATGAAAAGAGAGCCAAATAGGAAATAAGAACTTAGAAGTAAAATTATCCTCTGAGACATATAAGGAAGAAGTAACATATAAGAGATGAAGTCCAGGGTCAGTAGAAGTGACCTCCATGAATAAACTGGTAGCTGAAAAGATGTAGGAATTCAGGTGGCTGAGGCCATACACAGGAACAAGAAATCTCAGGAGAAGACCAATGTCCAATAGAGGTTGAAAAAAAGGTTTACTGACATATCTTTTAACCCTCAACACCAAGCCAGGTAGACATCCCAACTCTCCCAGTCACTCATATGTTTGATGGAATGTGCCCAGGGTAGAATGGGAGGCAGCAGCCTGACTGACTACTTGATGGCACCCATCATTAATACTTCAAGACAGCCCCTCTTGCTCAGACTTGGTACTTATTCAACAACCTTCTGTTAAAAATCTCTCCAGATTGATTTCTCTATAGGGGGAGATCTTGACCAGTTCTCATAGGCACCTGCCCACCAGGGAGTTGTATTTTCTCTGAAAAGCAATAAATGATAGGTTACTTTCCAGCATCTGGTAATAAGTCCCAACTCTGTTCATATATAAAATTGACAACACTGAGTTTGTGGTCAGCTGTCTCCCTAGATAATGGCTTCTGTACATTCATGTTTTTTTCTACAGTATTCTATAGAAGATGAGTGATTGGTGGTGTAAATACCAAAAGGAAAACTTAGCTAGCTCTGTAAGGTTATCTTGATGCAAAATCCAAGTATTAGGGCCAGAAGGTGATATGGCGGGCGGTTAAGGCACTGGATCCCACATGCCCTGGATCTGGTGACTTGAAAATCATCCGAGTGTGTGTGCATGCGTGCCCAAAATCCTGAGTGGAAACTGGAGGAGAAGGGATAGAGGCATGGTCATCTACCCTGGGGATTGATTTCTCACTTTCCCTTTGTCTGCGTCTGTCTCTGGTGAGTGCACATACCCCATAGCAAAAATTGAAAAGAAAACGAAAAAGAAAAAAAGAAAAATGGTATTAGTGGTCTGTGCTCCTGTCCCTTGTTGGTGGGTTGACTGGCAATAAAATGGAGAAGGAGGTAAATTCTAAGTTCTGAACATCAGTGTCCGCACAGTAAATGACACCTGCAACTCTCAGTCTGAATTTTGAGTTCCTAGGGGATGCAAAAACTTTATCATGGATCATCAAAAAAACTCTTAATTTAACTCTTGCTTTGGGCTAAAATAAAGTGGACCAAATAGGCCAACCAAATATATTCCCCCCACACACACACACCTTCCCTAAGAATCTGATTTATATATTGGTTTACATGAAGTTCCCTTAAATAGATAACACCCAGGTCTCCTGAGCCAAATCCACTACTGGTAAATCAAAAGTCTGGATTATAGCTTAATTAAGCTTAATTATTCAATTAAGTTTAATTGGTTCACTCATGTACCAGAGGCAGTGATCACTTACTATACATGCCATGTGGGATGTGACATGCTTGGCACACATGTCTGACTTCTCTCAGCTCCACAGCAGTTAGTCCCATTCAATGCCCAAAATGAGCCTGCTCTTGGACACTGCTGACTTGGCGCTCTCACCAGGGCCTTCCGAGTCCACTCTGTGGGTTACATTATGACAATCCAGAAGGAGTTCTCTTTCCATACCAGCTTTTTCCATTGTGTCAGGACCTTGTTTGGGGGGAACTGCATTTGTGAAGTCACTGAGCTGGACTTTCCTCTTTTTGGAAATTTCTCAGAGCCCAGGGTGAGCCATGTGTGTTTAATTCTTGGCTCTCTGCTCCCTTATCTCAGGAGGGTTCTCCATTTCTCCGGAAAGATTGCAAAGCAACAACTACCACCCTTTTGGTCCCAATTTGACAGAGATTATGAGGCCCGGTGTTCTCATCAAAGCAGATGGAGGAAGGTGGGCTTAAGAGCGCTTGTGAAAATGGTCTGGGCAAGTGTGTGAAATGGATCCAGTTTATAGCTGTAACTATAAATAAACAGCAAAAAGGGAAGACTAGTTGGACCCAGTGTCTGGAAAGCCTCAGATTTGGTGTCAAGTTTCTGCAGCTGAGTGTTTGTGGTTCTCTGGAGATGCTGCGTCCACTGTTTTGACATTTAGGAACGGGAGTGATGTAATTGCCTTGTGATAGACTCCACGTGCACTAACATACAAGCATTTCGTAATGCTTGTCTGAAGCCAAGCATTGGTGTAATCTGCAAAGAGAAAACTCCTTGATATTCCTGTATAATTGATTTTCAGGTGAAGTTGTTTAACTAGGCCCAGCTTTCTGAGATCTGTCCAAAGAGGTGGTGTGACTGCTGATTTCACTTACGTCGTCTTGTTTCTTTAATTTGATTCAAATTTGTGGTTAACCTTTTGAAAGAGAATATTTGAAATAGACACAGCAACTGTGACTGTCATAATGACAGTCACAGAAATAAAGAAATAGTGGTTCAGTAAAAATGAAACAAACCCAGCACTAGATGTAGATTTTCATTTTTGGAAGTGCAGGTGCCATCCTGGAGGGGCACTAAGAGCTGTGGCCCTGATGGGGAGTTTCGATGGTGGTCTTTGTGCAGGTTCTAAGGGGATGAAACCAACTCATGGTGGGGAGAAGTCACAGAAGAGCAGAGAAATAGTTCAGGGCAACCATTCAATGGATTAGAGACCCAAGGGCTGAAAGGGACTTGTTAGGGTCTCCCCAGCTTGCCCACAACCCACTCTTGGTAAAAGTGCTGCTTTGTGGAGTTGGTAGGCAGGCCTCACCACCTGCAACCCCCCTAGAACTTCATTAAGGATATGATCTGATTTATGAAGCCCTGAATCTCTGACATTCTCCTGCCTCATCTTCCTCCAGCCCTTAATAGAAACACAGAAATATTGGCACATTATGTCTGATTATAAATATTCTATCCAGTCATTATGTTGTATGGTTGAGGTGTCTCAAGTTTTTGCCTTAATGTTTTTCACCTGTTCCCCAAAGGGAAAGGAACCTCTGGGGTGACAAAGGGGGAAGGAAAGAAGGTAAGACAGGAAAGAAAGAAAATACCATCACCAAGCTCTTTCCATCCTCCAGAGACTTCATTTATTGTCACTTAATTTAACCAGCAATTTTGCAGTCTTTATTATGGGCCAGATGCTGTTTTAAGTGTTGTGCGAATATCAACTTATTTAAATAAAGTAAAAACCCTAATAACAACCCTATGAGGTTGGTTCTATTATTCTCATTTTTCTGCAAAGGAAGTAGAGATGAGTCCCTGTGACCCCCAAGGTCACTGCTCTTAAGAGCCAGGGTTTAAACTCCAACCCAGGCAGTTTGGTTTCAGGAATCTGCTCTCACTACTATGTTCTGCTGCCTCTTTTCTCCGGTATTTTATTTAAGGTTTTAGCATAAACATCTTGTGATAATGCAAATAAGATGGGGAACTTCAAAAAGTTCATGGAAAATGGAATTATAGAATGAGTTTATATTGATCTGTAAAGTTTTTAAATCTCTATATAGTATTTTTATAAGTCACATTGTCACATTGTCCTTGAACTCTGAGTTTTTGCTACAGGGTGCATGTGCTTGCTGGAGAGAGACAGAGAAAGGGAAAGTGAGCGATCATCCCCAGGGAGGTGGTCATGCTACAGTTCCTTCTCCATTCTCCTCTGGCATGGGTTTCAAGCCACAGGCCTGAGACTCAAACTATGATTGGCCATGGTGGAATCCAGCACCTTAACCACCACGTTATCTGCTGGTGCCTGTCCTTGGATTTTTTTTTTTTTTTTTTTTTTGAAGACCTTTCATATAGTCTGACTATAGAATGTTTGGAAAGGAGATAATAAAGGGAGAGAAATATTTCCAGTAACAAGAA